TGGAATACGTTAGCATAGGAATGTTGACAACAAAGTCGTTGAAGTTAATTTTGTAGTAAAATTGACGTTATTGAATCTTGTTTTATTGTTTTGTTCTAGGTCATTTTTGTATGGATTCAAAAATTTGTAATGAAATTATTATTAATTTTATTAGTTCATTTGTGTAAATTGTCGGATGAATAGATTTTTATTTATTTATTTTACTTATGCAAGGTCAAACAACATTACAAAAAAAAATTAGAAACCTACGGCAACTTTTGTTGTAGTGTATTGTGGTGTTAATAATTGATTGAATTTCTTTTTTTTTTTAATTGAGGATCTTCTATTCTCTCAATTACTTCTTGAATAATTTCATTTTCTTTAAAGGACTTTAATTGATTTGTTTTTGCAATAGTATCAACTACCATTGCATCCACAAATACTTTTGTCATTACTAAAGCTTGAAGAATCTGAGCTTTTTTCATAATTTGAATCCTCTTGATTTTGATAGATTTGTTCATAATCGCATTCTGAATTTTCTTCAAGACTATAATTAATCAATTTTAAAATTTTATTATTTATGCCTTCATTTATTTAGAGATTGTTTATTTTTCCTTCCATCTGATACTTGTTAGAATATTGACATGTTGGTTTGCATTTCCAACAAATAATATTTTTGTTAGATTTTTGAAATTTTCTTCTATAAAATTTCATTTTTTCTGAGATTTTTGATATTTTTCATCTCTTTGATAATTTTTTTCTTTTTTTGACATACTTTGGATATAATTTATTATTTTTTTTATTTTTATTTTTTTTTAAGAAAGAACTACTTTTTCGAATCCATATTGTTCACAAAAAATGATCCGAGTTCTCGTTGGCTTTCAACTCTATCACTTTTGAGTTTTGATTTGAGTTTCATGTCATTGCATAATGGCAATCCTTCTTTATTGATGTAATTTATAATTTGACCGTAATTTAGGGAAGTGTATGGAATCGTATTTTTATTTTGATTTTTTATTGTAGTTTTTATTCTTTTAGCAAAAAATTTTGGAAGTCCAGAAATAAATATTTTCTTTGCAAAATATTGAAAATAATCTTCCCTTAGTAGAACTTTAGTCCGCCAATTTTTTAATTGATCGAAAGGCCAGGTTAAATATTACTGAAGGTAGTTTCTTCGGAAATAAATCAACAGAGATAAGTCGAATGTCACATAACAATATTTTCAACGACTTGAATAACTTGATATTCAGTCATTCCATTCTATTATCTCATCTCTGTTATAGGAGATTTGAGATTTCCTTTTTGCCTCATATTGCATATTAGGAAATGAAGGTCTGGTTTGTCAGTGACTTATTCGAGGAGATAAGCAATTACCTCATTTTCCCCATGAACTCGAACAATTTCTTCCATTCGAGGATGCTCGTATTGAAAGGTTTCTCCACTTGTGGTTTTCCATTTTTTCTGTTAGTACGAGTCATATCGACAGATTTTTGATTTTGTTCTCCAAAAACTCTTATTTCATCCCATTGAAAAAAAAAACATAAATCCTCTGGATAAGAATAAAATTCTTATCCTTATCAGATTCTAATCTTCCTTAGAACATCCTTATCAGATTTTTTCTAAAGGCTTTAATTCGTGCTGTTTTATTGGTTTAGAATTCTCTTTTTCGATCTATAGTGGAAGAAATGACATTTAATTGTTCTCCTAATCTTCTAGATGGAGGAGGAAGTTGAATATCAAAAGGAGTATGAGACTCTGCTATTTCTAAATCAAATTCATTTTTGTATTGAGGTTTTCGAACATTTGAGTTAAAATCAACTCTTTTTAATTTTTCTGAAGAAGTTGAATGCCTTGAGGGTTGACGGAATCTCTCAAAAATAGGATTGATTCTAGAAGAAGTGGAATGTCTTGAACAAGAAGGAATATAATCAAATATCATCTTAACGTTTCCATTAGGAAAAAAATTTATTTGAAGAGGAGTATCTTTTGGTTTTTCCATTTCAGAAATATTGACATTTTCAAAATCCCATCCTTAAAGATCTTGAAAGTCTATTCTACGGAATTCTATTTGGAATAATTGGAAAGAGTATTGACTTCCATAATAAGTGTTTCTTCTTTTGGAGAATATCTCAATGCTCCAATACTGAGATATGTTCTCATTACTTTGCAGTAATATATACGATATATTATAACAAATGATTTTGAACGTTCATCAATATTGTGATTTTTTGTTTCTATCCGAAGAGTATGGGAATTTAATATAGCTTCATTATTCATATCAATAATATAATTTGTATAACGATTTGAGAATATTGGACCACTTTCTAAATTTGACTTTAGAAATGAAAGTAAAGGATTCTCAAATTTCAGATGTCTCTTATTTTTTAAAATTAAGAGAACGGGCATGTTTAGGCTAAGTCGAAACAATGACGACAATTTGGACTAAACCAATATGAAGAAATTTATATTTCTTCCTACGGTTTTTGATTGCTTCTGACACGTCGAAAATGTATTCGACTTTGATTACCGCAAGTGTACGGATCGTTCAAGTAATAAAATGGATTTTAGAGTCCAAGTATCGTTCCCACAGAGATTTACTAGTTCGATTTTACCTATTCCGACCTTAATCG